GAAGCTTGCATGCAGCGACTGCTGCCACCACCCACCCCCCTGCACTGCTGCCGCTCTGCATCTGACCTCGTGCCACACCCACCCCTCGCTCTGCATCCAGCTGCAAAACAACCCTCCTCCCCACTCCCCAATCTGTGTGGGGTGGTGGTGCTCCATACCCACCCGCCCTGCCCTTCTCAATGCAGCAACTGGCTGGAGCCACACCCCCCACGAGCATTGTGGACAGACACAGACAGACTAAGCCCTTTATGTTTCTATATATCTATAGATAGATATTTTTATCATATTAAAATGAAAATTTCCAGGTTTTTTTTTCTTATTATTTAGAGGCCACTCATATTGTGAGGCCCTAAGCTGTAGCTTAATTATTTTAAGCCTAAATCCAGCACTGGCTAACACACACTTCGCCACTTATATAACTGCGAGCGTCACAGCGCCGGGCACTTTTTAGAGTGCCCAGCGTTGTGGCGCTTGCATGTGTAAAAGTGCCCATAGATTAGTTTCCTAGAATCTTTCCTGTTCTCACACAGCAGCATAGGAAAGAGTCTACCAAAATAATCTATTCCAGATAAAACCATTCCTGACACCTAAGGAACAAGATCTCTATTAGAGCTGGATGGTTGGAGGGAGGGTTTGGCTGTAACTTTTCAAAGAAAAATGAAAAACTGAACACCAGAAAGTTTTGCAGATTTATAACTGATCCCAAAAAGCTTATCGAAAAAAAAAAAAAAGGAAAAGAAAAAGAAGAGTCAAAGATATTTCAACATTTCCTAACGAAAATATTTTGATTCAAAATTACCACATTTCAATACTTCTTTCAATAATTCTTTCAATTAGATTAAAACCACTATACGCTCAAAAATGCAAACAAAACAATATTTTTAATTTTTATTTTTTGGAAGTGCTTTCTCAGATCCAATATCTATGTCTGTCATCTAAACTCAGGCTGTATGGTACAGGGAGGCAAGAATTGGGTGAAAGAAGTTTCTATTGTCAAGTGGTATGAAGTCTCTTAAAAGAGGTAAGGGTTTTTGATGGACAAACAAAAACATCAAATCCAGGTAGTAAAAACTGCCTCAACCATGTATGCGGGAGGATCAGTTCACAAAACTCAGTATGAGAAAAAGAGGTTGTCCAGCTGAGCTGATACAGAAGGTAAGTAGATTTGCACCTTAGAAACTAACCAAAGTGTGTGGATATATACATATATACTATATACACACTATTTTTGCCTTTTTCCAATCTTCTGAAACTTCACCTGGTCTCTGCGAGTTCTCAAAAAGCAATAGCCAATGCCTTTGCAATTACCTTGGCCATCTCTGTGTGCTACAGGATGACTCTCATCAAGTCCTACCAGGGGTGGAGTCACACCCACATTCACTGCCAATACACTGCTGAGAGCTCTGGTCTCAGCCATCACACACATGCACAGAGAGCCTACTGCAGGTGTGCAGTGAGGTCTCTACCATCACTACATGCCCCATTTTCCCCATCCCCATCCATTCTACTGATTTGAAAGCATCCAGCCTCAGCAATCTCTAACCAGTTCTCTCCCTATACTAGGTTGGTTATCTATTCTCACTGCTAACTGAGATTGTGATCTGACAATGAATCTGTTTTGAAGGATGACTTAAAGGCATAAAACCTTTCAACCTTCTCCACATTGTCCATTACTAGCTTCCCCTTCCTACTCAGTAAGGCACCTATGCTTTCTTGGTCTGTCTCTTCTAATACAATTCGAATTCCACTTCAAATATAATTATATAATGCTTTTTATTGCCTTTTGTATGTCTTGCTATTTGCATCTTAGTCCCAGAACCAGAACCAGGATTCCAATCAGAGAAAAATAAGTTTTGGCAGCTTCTACTTATTTTATTTTAATAAAACAATTTAAAAAGATTCACAATACATAATTAGTGCACACTAATAATATGCATATATATATAAAATAAATAAATAAATAAACAAACAAACAAATAAATGAAATCTCAATGTTAAGGAGTTCTCTCTCACACTTAGGGGTCATAAGAAGTTGAACAACACACTTGTTCTGCTTTTTATGGCAAAAGTACATCATAAAGAGGATTAGGCAAATGTGTTTTTCCAGCTGACACGGTCACCCAGAAAACTCTGATCTCAAGCCTGCACTCCCTCAGTGGAATACATATGCATAAGCAAGCAAAAAAAGCCTCAGATCCTCAGGCAAAGTCTTGGGCCTACTGAAGTCAGTAAGTTTTGCCACCGACTTCAAAATAGCCAGGAGTTCAACTGTGGTATGCAGTACTGCAGTAGCCCTTTGTCAAAAGAGAATTACTTACCAAAGTCTACTTTAATAGTGTTGTTGTTTGGATAAATAAACTCTGGTTTTTTCTTCACTGGAGTTTCTAACAAAGAAGATTATCATAATTATCATTAGCATTATTATTAAATATTATCAAACAACCAATACTTATTCCACAAGCTACCGTAACATTACTATTTCTGCAGTGTTCTTTTTTATTACTACTTGGCAACAGTGTTACTAGCTAGCATAATTATCAATATACTTAAAGGAATTTCCAAATTGTCATTTGTACACTTCTAGCAAGAGATTTGTTATTATTTGGCCAAAGGGGTTAACTCTAAAGGTAAAACTTAACACAACATTTAATTCTAATACATAAAAATTCTTGCAAGAGTAATTGGTAAGAAGTAGAGACAAGATACTTCTTGGATGTTAACCATTCATCTGCTTCACATATATTTTAAATCAGGGGCATTCAACCTTTCTGCCTGAAGGACTGGCTGGGCAGTGCCCGATCCACCTGTGGGCCAGATCCAGCAGGTGATCCCAATTCAGTGCCTGGGGCAGGCATGGTGGGGCCTCATCCAGGTGCACAGAGTGGGCTGGGGGGGCAGCTCAACCCCAACCTGGCCTTCTA